ATTAACTTTATTTTGGGGGAGAGAAATGAAAGTTTATATAAATTCATTTATATAAATTCATTCATTTATATAAATTCATTTTAAGAGGTCCGCAGTATTGCAAAGTTGTGATTGAGAGGTTATGTTGGGGGAGGGGGGCGATGACAACTTCCTCATTGGCTCAAGGGGGCAATTCGTTCAAAAAGGTTAAGAACCACTGGACTAGATGACCTACAAGATCCCTTCCAACTCTTATTCTGTATTCTGTATCAGCTCAATCCACTTCACAGGTGGGATAAAAATTAATAATAATCCTCAGTAACCCCAGCTCTTAAGCATTTCTACCATATAAACAGTGCTCAACTTATCTAACAAAGTCTATGATGTGCTTTTGCACACAGTATGAAAGGAAGGATAAAAATGCCCCCAAGAGCTCAACTCTTAGTGATTTAATAGATGTATCAATGCATTTTTCTTGGCAATGTACCAAAGTGGTTTTCTTTGCCCGATGCTATTAAATTTCCTGGTCTAACCTACAGCCTGATTTTTCTTAGTGCTTTTCCATCTCTAATACTACCATATTCACTCCACTGATTTGCTGACCCACTTAATAGTAATAGCAGTAAGTCCTTTCTTCAGAAATGTGATACGTGGAAATAGTTACTATCATGGTTCCTATACTTAATAATAAATAAAAAAATACTTAAACTGGAAAAAATTATCCAGCTTCAGGGATAGACATTCTGACTGTCTGAAAGTGAAGCAAATAACTTAATGTAAGAACATAACCTAAATACTGACCTTGACATGCATGTTTTAATAAATGACTACATTTTCTGAATAGTTTTTATCCCAGAGCTGTAGTTGCACTCAACAACGAACTAAAGGGCCACCATCAGTGAACTGTTGGACAGTATTACTTGGTCTGTTGTGTGGATGTTGGGGGGTTTTAAGGGTGGGGATTGGGGTGGGGGGAGTGTGTTGGGGATTATGTGTGTGGGACTTGGTTTTTGGGTGTCAAGTAAATTTTGTTGTATATGTATACTATGTACGCACATACAATGACAATAAAGTAAAGTATTTCTATTTATTTACTACAGATTGTGATTCTAAAACACAAATCTGAAAAAAGAAAGCACATGCAAATTACACAACTGGGAACCAAAAATTTTGAAACGGACAGCAAATTGCCAAGTGACACTCAAATACCATGAATTAAGACATGAATTAATTAATTCCTAAGATCCTGGTGGCGCAGTGGTTAGAATACAGTACTGCAGGCTACTTCTGCTAACTCCAGGCTGCCAGCAGTTTGGCAGTTTGAGTCTCACTGGTTCAAGGTTGACTCAGCCTTCCATCCTTCTGATATCAGTAAAATGAGGACCCAGATTATTGGGGGCAATATGCTGACTCTGTAAACCACTTAGAGAGGGCTGTAAAGCACTGTGAAATGATATATAAGTCTAAGTGCTATTGCTATCATGAGCAAATCTATTTTTGCTTAAACATAAAAACATAAAACATAAAACAGGGAGCCTTTGTACACACTGTGCAGCTCTAACAAATTATATTCAGGCCATGCAACACATACATTTGATTAAAATTTATCTAGATTAACTTATATGGTCTTACAATGTTGAAATATGAAATCACATGGTACACTAAAAACTAAGAGCATCCTACTCCCCTCTCTATTTTAGCAAAGGGGCATATATGTATTGCCATGACATTAAAAAAAGCTTGACAATTATGTTGGCACCAGATAGACAATACCATTACTCTTTGCAAGAGTACAAAACATTACAGGATTTAGAGAATAACAAGAGTTGGAAGAAACCTTGGAGGTCTTCTATCCAGGTGACCCATACAATTCCAGACAACTGGCTGTCCAGTCTCCAAGTATTCCCTTTACAAGAAGAGTAAAAGAGCAGTTTGCTGTAGGATTAAGATATCAGGCTAGAACTTACGGCAAATTCGAGTCCCACCTTAGGCCTGAAGCCAACTGGGTGACCCTGGGCCAGTCACTTTTTGTCAATCCTAGGAAGGACACAAGGGCTAACCACTCACAAAACATGTTGCCAAGAAAATTGCAGGGCTTGTCCAGGAAGTCCCCAGGAATCAACAATGACTGGAAGGCAGCTTCTGCCTCCCAAATTAACAGAATTTCCAGAAACAAACAACGAAGACATTGAAACACTTCTAAATCTTGCCCAGAATATTAGACAAATCAGCAAAGAAGCCTGTAATATTTTAAAGATTGGACAAATTTATTGATGCATAAAACTTTAGGCACATGGGATGCCGCTATTCTGGAAAAAGTGAAACTCTTGGATAATACGGCAATCCCGAGAAACACCCACTGAAAGCCTCTTACCTGGGGGAATCTGTTTTCTTTCCTTCTTCGGCTAACTTTGAGGTCTTGGAAGCCTTCCGGTCGCCCTAGTAAAGAAATAAGTGAGGGAGAACACGGACCCCAAACCAGGCTTGTTCCATTACCCGAAACGAATTAAATCCACAAGAGAGTTATTAATACCAGTGAAGGGCAGATTATGGCACGTCCAGATCAAATGCTTCGAGTCACGTGTAGTAGCGATACTAAGCTACCCCAGTACCTTCCTAGGAAAGTACGTGGCTCAACCGGACCCAGGGTTGCTCTCAATGAGGAACGGACCATTTGAATCACAAAGGAGTTATCTGACACGTCCCGGGCACCAACACCTAAACATTAACCTTCCGTGGCCATGGAGGAAATGATAAGATTTACCTTCCTGGTAGCGGCCATTACCAGTAGAAAGAAAGGAGGATCTGATTGGCTTGCGCAATCCCAAACCGTCGATGCCTATAACTTCCGTCATGCATTGCGCAAAGTTCTCATTAACCACCGAGTGACTCAAAGAAGCAAGTCACAAGCGTCTTTTGGCATAGAAGTCGGGTGAAACTCGGGCTTTAATCCAGTGTTTCTCAAATTAAGCAACTTTAAAATGGTTGGAGAATTCTGGAAGTTGAAGTCCACAAAAGCTTTAATCTAAGGCCACCATACTTTTCTGCAATAATCCGTGTGGTCACCAATGAGTGGCAAAAAGATACAGAATAAAGGGAAATAATCCTGTCCCAGCGTAATATTGCATGATCCAATCTGAGTCGGTCACCGGGACCAGAGGTTTAGTCTTCCAAGATTTCGGACTCGTGTTCTAGTTCATCTTCAGGAACCTGAGAAGAGAAGTTTCCTGAGGATGGGATCCAGCACAAGTCAGAAAGCTTGGAAGAATAAGCCTCTGGTCCTTGTGGCCGACTAAGAATGGATTCTGCAAGATAGAGAATATTCTACCTTTTCCCACTCCTCAAACGCTAGCAAAAACCAGCCTTCTCAAAGGCTCAGAATGCAAATGAGACTTTATATGTTCAAAAATAAGAAAAAATAAAACACTGATGTGTCTTTTTCTTGATTGAGAGGTATATACTTCTTGAATGCTGTTAGAAATCCTACTAAGTATGTAATTATAGTATTAACATCTATTAACATTTTAGTGGTGTATTTTTGATATTTTTTTCCCTTTGACATTCTTTTTCTGTTAAATGGATGACATGGAAGAAACCAGCGTGGCTGCACAAAGATCTTGCTAACAAACTAAAAGACTGAAGGGATGTTATTATGCTTAAGCCTGATATTAGTAATATTGATATTAGTAGTGATTTATTTATTTATTAACTTTATTGTCAAAGTATAATGTGTACAATGAGATTAGCTGAGCCTCCCTTTGTGCACCCCCCCATTAAACTCACAATGACAACAAACACACAATCTTATGGCACCATGTGAACTTATTTCACAATGCGCCGGTCCCGCAAGTCTATCATACATGGAGTTATTTTCCATTCAGGAGTCTGACAGCCCATGGGTAGAAACTGTTCTTCAGCCTGTTGGTGCGGCTGGCTATGCTTCTATATCTCCTACCCGATGGTAGGAGAGTAAAGAGGTGCTGACCAGGGTGTGAGTCATCCCTGAGGATTTGCCTCACTCTTCTAAGGCAGCGGGCCCTAGCAATGGCGTCTAGTGGTATTGGGATAGCCCACGATGTTTTGTGCTGTGCTCACCACCCTCTGTAGTGTCTTTTTATCCGCAGCTGTCAAGCCAGCATACCACACCATAATGCAATGTGAGAGGACGCTTTCTAAAGTGGACTGGTAAAAGAAGGTCATCAGTCGTTGTTCCACTTTGTTCTTTTGCAAGACCCTGAGAAAGTGAAGTCTCTGTTGGGCCTTTCTGGCAACCTGGATTGTATCCAGGTGAGATCTTCGCTGAGATAGACTTCCAGGAATTTAAAGGAGGAAACTCTTTCCACACGGCCCCCCTAATGTAAAGTGGGGTGGGTTCCTCTTTTCTTCCGAAAGTCTAACACCATCTCCTTTGTCTTGCTGATGTTTAGGTGCAAGTTGTTTTCTAGCCACCATGAGGATAGTTTTTGAACCTCCCCCTGTACGCTGTTTCGTGTCTACCTTTAATAAGACCCAATACGGTGGTATCATCTGCGAACTTAATGATCACAGTGGATGGGTCAGAGGATACACAATCATGTGTGTACAGTGAATACAGGTAGGGACTAAGCACACAGCCCTGTGGCGAGCCAGTGCAAAGCTTCAGGGAGGTGAATGTGACAGACCCAACTCTCACTGTTTGTGGACGGTCCCTCAAAAAGTCTTTGATCCAATCGCAGGTGGAGGGGGGGAAATCCAAGTCACTCAGCTTTTCAGTAAGAATGCTCGGCAGGATAGTATTGAAAGCCGAGCTATAGTCAATGAAAAGCATCCTGACATAGTTTCCGGGTTTCTCCAAATGGCTCGCTACAGAATGTAAAGCAGTAGCTATGGCATCATCTGTCGACCTATTCCCCCTGTAAGCAAACTGATGTTTGACAAAGTCCAGTGGGAGGCATATCCTAAGGTGTTGGAGAACCAGTCTTTCGAAACATTTCATCACTACAGACGTTAATGCGATAGGTCTGTAGTCGTTTAGGCAGTTAATTGCTGTTTTCTTTGGGCCTGGGACAATAGTGGCTGCTTTCAAGCATGATGGAACACAGGCCGTTTGCAGGGAGATGTTAAAGATCCTTGTCAGGACCCCTGCTAATTGATCAGCACAATTCTTTTTTTTTTTTCCAATTTTTTTAAATTAATTTTGAAATAACCCCCCCATACAAATATAAACATACATTAATACAACTTTAGTATTATTAATTTTAACATACAAACATAAACATACATTAATATTGCAAAACAGCCCGGCAACCACCCCTCCCCGCGTCCGCCCTCTTTTCCTCCTTCAACCTCCCTACACATCCCACCTCCTTCCCTCTCCTCTTCCTACGGACACGGTTTAGGGGTGCTAGCCGAGCATCAGCTTGGCAGCACCCCCTCCCCGCATCCGCCCTCTTTTCTACTACCTACCTACTTCCCTCCTGTCTCTCCTCTCCTCTTCCTCTCCCTCCCTTCAGACATGGTTTAGGGGTGCTAACCGAGCACCTTCTATATTTCTCCATACATCAATACTCCTAATTTAATACTCATTTCTACATTAATGCTCATAATTCTATTTCTACCCTCCCTCTCACCCCCACCCCCCCGGACTTCCCAGAACTGATTACAGGGTTAAACACATGTCATCCCAAGTCTAAATGTTACTACCCAAATATAAAGCAATCAAGTATAAACATACTTTAACTCAAATAAAAACAATCAAATATAAGCATATAAACATATAAACTCTAAGCATATAATCTATCCATCTTCCCCAAACCCAAATATCTTAAAGTTAATCTTTGCCATTTCTGCAAAATAAAAACAGCCAATAATCTTGCT